TCTGACCCAGTCCTGGAAGGAATCCACCCTGGGGCCCCTTGTCCAAGCATGACTTGGGTCTGTCAGCGCTTGTCATGGCTTCTCTGTGTGCCCAAGCTGCCCTAGGCTGGCTGGGAACGTTTTCATGGCTGAGAACCAGTGGGAGATGCCACGACTTGTGTTTAGTGCTGGCGGGCCGCCCGGAGCACCCAGCTGCTCGGGGCGTTCCGGCGATACCCTGGGGCCTCGGGGAGGGGAAGGGAGCCTGGGGCTTCCCTGTTGGCGGGTTCTAGTGGGACTTTGGGGATATTGTGAAGAAACCCTCAGTTCAGGAGAAAGGAAGGGGGCACTCCAGTGTCTGCCGGCTCCCTCTCATGGCTCCACAGCTTCTAGTCAGGGTCAAGGAGATGAAGGAGCCATCCAGGGCCAGATCCAGGGTCCACACAGATTCTAACCAGTGTGGCCAAGCGGCTAGGGCTCTAGAGCCAGCTAGTCAAGGGCTCCCCCCAGTGGACACCATAGGGGAGGCAAAACCCGGAGACCCCTCGAAGGCTGGCGTTTCATTTCTTCCTTCCACTAAGAGAGTGAGCATTTCTGCCCCAGGTGTGGTACCAGGCACATGTTTGTTTTAATTAAAATACATATTTATTAATCATCTGCTAAGCGGGAAGCTCTGTCAAATGTTATGCGTTAGTGAGGGAAGACAGAATATAAGGTAGGGAACTATTCCTTCACAGCAGCGGTTTTCAACCCAGACCGTCTATTAGATTTGCCCGGGGAACTGTAGGAAACCACCAGCACCTGGGCCCCGTCCAGGCTAAAGGAGGGGGTGTGCAGATGCAGCCTGGGTTTGCAGGTCGTCCAGCAAAAGTCGACAGGTGGCCAGGCATGAGAATCACTGGTTTTGGAGAATTGACCAAAATATTTCTTGTCCAGCCTTCTCACCCAGCTGCCGAGGTAGGTGGTGCTGTCCCATTTTGCAGATGAGGAGACTGAGGTTTGGGTGACCTTTCCCTGGTTCAGTTAAGGAGAACGATGGGAAAGGTGTTTCCCACATCACAGTGTTACCATCGGCATTTAGCTAGATACTGATAAAGGACAGAGAGCAAAGGGAACTAGACATTGAGTCTAACACACTGGGGGGCATAAGCCTGTTTGCTCGCTCACGCAGGGAGCTGCAGGTTCACACTCCAGAGGGTCACAGCATTGCTCCACCGAGGGCATTAACACTCTTCCCTCCCTCTCTGTGGCATCGACAGTTGGTGGGGGGCACAGGGGACCTGTCAGTCTAACTAGGGGGTGGACCTATGAAAGCCCCCAAAAGTTTGGGACGTTGACTGATTCTTCTGAGAAAGCACCTGGTCCATCTGAAACCCAAGTCTTGGTAGTAACCTCTGGGGAACAAAGCATTGCGTGCGCTCCCCCCCTGCCCCCACCCGGTGATGCACCCACCCAGTTTGATCACGTGCTCTCTCTCCCCGGAGCACAGGACCACGTGAGCCTAGCAGCTACGGCCCTGCAGCAGATGGCGTAGACTCCAAAAGGACTAAGCTCTCTCTCTTGCTCTTCACCGGCACTCGCTCCCTGCACACGCCGGTTCTCTCCCTGTGGCCCTAGCAGCCAGGTGGCCCATGGCCGCGCAACTTCACACGCAGGCTCCAGGGGGCAGCCTGAAATGGACTACAGCTGGAAACACACAGCAAGCTGGCCGGATGCAGCTCTGCACTGGGCTTTAATATGAAGCAGAAACTCTGGATGCTGGCTTTTGTCTCGGCCTTGCTGAGCACACGACTGGACTGTTTCCATGGCGGGAGGGAGGCAGAGGAGACGCTGGAAACCCAGGGGCAGCTTCCATCTCCACAAAAATAAACCATCTTGCCACCCCACAGTCTTCTGTATGTGGGTCCTTGGATGCTTTCCGTGGGGTCACATGGAAGAGCCCAGGTGCCACCAACTGCAGCGGGAGGCAGGGATGCCACACATGCTCCCCCAGGGCTGTCCCTGCTCTCTGAGAGACTGCTGCATGTGTCTGTCATGAATAGAAAAAAAAAAAACAAGGTCATTGTCAAATAATTATAATATTTTTTAGGCATTAAATTACAGAGGCAAAAATGGCACACACTAAAATCACCTGCAGTCTGGGCATTGTTACCCTTAGGAGTATATCAGAGAGAGAGAGGAAGGGGGTGGGGAATTTATTTTCAGGTTCTGTAACAGGGTGCAGCCGGGGGGGGGGCGCCCAAATAGGGATTTGTAATGGGGTCTAGAACTTGGTGTCCAGGAAATATTAGGAAAAAATATATATAGGATGTCCTCGCCCCCAAAAGTCTGAGCTGGGGGATGGGACACATGGAGCAGGGCCATTGAGAAGAGCTGGGAGGTGATTGGCACCATACCACAGGGCCACACCTGCCAGGACTTACTATGGCAGCCCAGTAAAGCTGGAAACGCCCAGGAACGCTGGCAGCTGTGGCCAATTGTGGGAGGAGTCGGAAATGGTGCAGCAGAGGAAGCCGGGTGCTGGGATTTAAACCCAGGCACGGCAGCCATGCAGTGTCTTTCTGGGACCACGCAGGGGCTTTTCTGGACCACTCCACCCGGGCAGAGAAGAGCCACAGACTTCTATTTCTTTTTCTGAGACACGGTACCCCGGACTGGGCAGAGGGGGAAGGAAGGACTGTGCGTTTGTGGGTATTCTAAAGGACTTTGGGATCTCCATGAAGACATTAAGTCATTACTCTTAAGTTTGTATAACTCTTTAAATAAGTAATCCCTTTTCACCGGTCTCTGGCATTGAGAGACATCTTTCCCTGGCGGTGGGAAAGGCAAACCTAGTAGGGGGTGGGGGACCCCTGGGGCACAAGGGTGGGTCCATTTGCTAATAGTATGTCGTCTCCCCGCAACCCCGGGTCTGCACTGTAACAGTTTGAGATCAAATTGTAACTCAGGGCTTCTGGATGTGTGGTCAGAAGACCGCTGGCAATGTGACCCCACAGTGTGCGTTAGAAATTCAGCGTCCCCTGCGTCACAGAATCACACTCCAGAGAAGGATGCTGAGAAAGCCACAGTTAAAAAACGTCCCCAGCCCTTCTTATGGCCACTGAAGACCAAGTGCCACCTCTGTTTCAAATTTTCCCTTAATTCAAGAGGAATGTGTCCTGAATGTGCCACTTTCGGGGGCTCAGGAGGGCCCCGGAGCACGGATTGATGCGTTAAAATGTGGGGAGCCAGCTGCTGAGACATTAACCAGCCGCCCTTGGGGACCTGGGCACTCACTCGCATTTCCCATGGGCTGGCTGGGAACCGCAGCATGATCACCAGAGGTGCCGTGTCGTCCTGCACCAGGCCCGGCCCCCACACAGCAGCCCCCTGGCCGCCCTCTCCTTCCCTAGCTCACAACCAACCCACTATGTCCTGCGGGCCAGTCACAGCCCGAAGAGCTGATGTCACCAGCAGCCAATCAGAGCTCCTCACTGGTGTAGGCAGAATTCTGTGAGTCTTACTGGGGTGATGGAATTCTAAAGAAATACCATCTTTGGAGATGGGGGCACTGAGGCCTAGAGAGGAGCAGAGGTCCACCCCTGGAGGCAGAGCCAGAGCCAGGACTTCCAAGTGTGGCCCCCAGAGCCACCAGAGCCCCGCAGGGCCTGGGCAGAGGCTCCCCCTCTGGGGACGGCTCTGGACCCCCTCCCCACAGCCTTCCCTGGGAGACCTCAAGGGTCAGATGCGAATCCCTCAATCTCTGGACTTTAGGGCCCCAAGAGAATGGCAGGATTGGCAGGGTCCATGGTGGAGGGGTGTTGCTGGGAATGTCAGCCCCACGCCCTGCCAGGGAGGAATTAGAGGGGTCCCGGTGACTGTGCTGGCTGCTGCTTATGGGCAGATTATGAGGAGGAAGCACAAGGGCCCCTTTGTGGAGGTGATGGTTTAAGGAGTCAAGTGACCGCTTAGCACCCACAGGGGCAGTGCCAGCCCCTAAGTGTAGGCAGGGACACCGGCCACAGAAACCAAGAGAGTCCCACCAGTCCAGTGGCCAGACCCGTTTGAAGGATCACCCGAGCATCCTGGAGCTCCGCCTGTGAGTAGAGGTGGCCCAGGCGGGCTGGGCTGGGGCCTTGAGGGCCGTTGGGGTGGATAACTGTCCCAGCACATGTGTGTGTGGTACATGTGCAGGTATGTGGGCGCCTGTGTGTCTGTGCAAAGGCTCTGGGTGGGGAAGAGCTCGGTGTGCACTAGACATAGAGAGAGAGCCAGTGCGGCTGCATCGGAGCAAGCGGGTGTCCATCATGGCTCCTGTGGGTTCTTACTGGGCCCCTCCTTTGAGAGCACAGTAGGAGCCGCCACTCTAAGGAAGGAATAGGCAGTAAACAAGCAGATAGTCTGCAAAATACAATTTCAAGTATAACATGACTAAGGGCTGTGTAGAAAAACTGGGCGAGGCGAGAAGACAAAGTGTGGGTGGCACTGGGATGCTATTTTCAGGTAGGGGTGTTGGGGACATTCTTTCTGAAGAGGTTCCCTGAAGTGGGGATGAGCCGAGAGTCAGATAAGGAAGAGCGTCCCCCAGGCAGGAAGACCAGCAGTGGAAAGGCCCTGGGGCCCTCAGGAAACATCTCCACCAACCCTGCTCTGTTCTGGGCTCTGGGAACAGGACGGCAGACGAGACTGAGCAAGCCTCTTACCAATTCTTTCCCTGCTTGGGGAGCGGGCAGAGGACTGGCCCCAGTGTGTGCACTGTTGTCATTGTCCTTGTCATGCAATGTAAGGGCACGGACCTAGCTATGTCTTCCCTGCCAAGGCTGTGGGCGGTCTCTGGGTTCACTTCCTACCTCCCCCAGGCAGTCAGACCTGGCAGGGCCGTACAGACCACCTCACCCCCATCTCTGTGTCCTGAGGAGGGGCTGAGGTCCAGAGCAGGGCAGGATCCTAGCTAAGGGGACAGATGAGCCCCAGACAGGCTCTGACCAAGGCTCCCGCTCTCTCCCAGCCCCCCCCCATCAGTGTCCCTCTCTGTCCACCAGGACCCAACCCACCTGCAGCAGCCCAGTCAGTGCTTGACCATGACCGTCACCTACTCAAGCCAAGTGGCTAACGCCCGCTTAGGCTCCTTCTCCCGCCTGCTGCTGTGCTGGCGAGGCAGCATCTACAAGCTGCTCTACGGCGAGTTCCTCATCTTCCTGCTCAGCTACTATGCCATCCGCTGTATTTATAGGTACAGGCAGGCAGAGGGGCTGAGGTGGGTCCCGGGGGGGGGTTGCAGCTGGGGCTCGGAACACTGGGAGACCTCCAAGCCACCCAGGGGGCCCATGTGTCAGAGACAGGCAAGGCTTAGCTCAGCCTGTGGCCCAGCCCGGGGGCTGAGTGCCGGGGAGGGGAGAAAAGGAGGCAGACTGGGGGGGGGCTGGGGGGGCACACCTCAGACACCTGTACCTCCAACCTGGGGCGAGTCCTGGAACCCAGGCCTCACCTGGTCCCACGCAGCCAACCTGCGTTCCTGAATTCCACCCAGGCTCATGGGTCCAGAGGGCACTTTTTTTTTTTCAATAACAAGGTTTATTTAAACAATAAATATAGGACAGATATCATCTCAGAATAGATGATACATATGATAGCATTTTAAATAGAAAAAGCATTAATGACTGAATAGATTGAAAATATCAAATACTTAAAAAGTCTTGAGTTCCTAGTGATAGCACTAATCAGAAAACACATTGGTTTTCCTTGATTGTTACTAGGGCACTAATACAGTTTTTTTTATTAGACTTTTTTTAGAGCTATTTTAGGTTCACAGCGAAATTGAGCGGAAGGCACAGAGTTCCCACATTTCTGCCCCCCCCACACACAGACCCTCCCCACTATGGGTGACCTGCAGCGCAGTGAGCAGTACACATTACACAAGATGGACACACGTGTCATCATCACCCGAAGTCCACCTGACAGTTTACATGAGGCTTCTGCCTTGGCGTCGCACATCCTGTGGGTTTGGACACATGTGTGACTTGCATACACCATTACAGGGTTGTGAATAATGGTTTCGCTGTCCTAAAAACCCTCTATGCCCTGTCTATTCAATCCTCCCAACTGTACTTCTTTTAAAGACCAAACACCCTTTGTTTCAACCTATTTAAAAAGAACAACAGCAACTGCCCTATGGATCCTTTAAAAGCAGCCCCAGAAAATGGCAGGACTGGCGGGGCCCGTGGTGGAGGGGGTACCTAAAAGGGACTCCTTCCTTCCTCCACCTCAGGAAAACCTCCCCGGGGACCTCCTTCAGCCACTAAGTCCTGGGCGGCTCAGGGCCACCAGAGAAGGAGCCGCACCGGGCTCAGGCGGTCCGAGCTGGAGGGGGCAGTAAAAGGGACGGGGAGGCTGTGGGGCAGCCACACTTCTACCTGGTGCCTGGCTGGACCCCAGGCGGTCTCGGCCATCTGTCGCCTCCCCCACCGCTTCCCCAGGATGGCCCTCACGGAAGGACAGCAGGTGATGTTTGAGAAGCTGACTCTGTATTGCGACAGCTACATCCAGCTCATCCCCATTTCCTTTGTGCTGGGTGAGCGCCCTCTTCGGGGTGTCCGGGTCCCCATGCTGCTAGGACTGCTAGGAGCTGGCGGGGTGTGGTCGGGCATGGGGCCCATGGTCACCTCAGTGCCTCTCGGGAGTTCAGGGAAACGGGGAGGGGGGACTGCAGCCAGAGGGGCGGACGTTGGATTCGAGGAAGGGTTCTTCCTGCTGTGAGCACTCAAGACCTCGGTTCCTGAGGGCAGCGCTGACATCATGGCCCCTGGAGCCTCTGCGCAGGCGGAATGGGATGGAGGGGGAGGGGAGTGCTCTGCCTGGTTTCTGGGATGGATGGGGGCGGGGTACAGGAGAGGTAATTCGAGACCCTTTGCCTCCATGCGGGGCGCCTCTGATGGCCCTCACCGCCTCCCTGGGAGCGCCTTCCAAAAGGGGTGAGGCCGGACCTGTTCCCGTTAGAAAGAAGAAACCGAGGCGTCGCCCTCGCTAGGCTCCGGCAGCAGCCTGGGCCCTTGCCCCTCGCCCCGTGCCCTTTTTGCCCAGGTTTCTACGTGACGCTGGTCGTGACCCGCTGGTGGAACCAGTATGAGAACCTGCCGTGGCCCGACCGTCTCATGAACCTGGTGTCAGGCTTTGTGGAGGGCAAGGACGAGCAAGGGCGCCTGCTGCGGCGCACGCTCATGCGCTACGCCAACCTGGGCAGCGTGCTCATCCTGCGCAGTGTCAGCGCTGCGGTCTACAAGCGCTTCCCCAGCTCCCAGCACCTGGTGAAAGCAGGTTGGGGGGACCGGAGCTGGGGATGGGCGGAGCCAGGCGCCCCTGGGCTGGGGATTGGGTGGGAACCAAGGGGTCGAGCCTGGGGGCCTCAATTGGCCTGGTGGAGTTAGGTGCCCGAAGGCGGGGCCAGGCCAGGCCAAGAAGCCCATTCCCCATCCTGTTCTCCTGTACTCTGTGTTTCCAGGCCTGTACAACTGTGACCTCGGTCTCTGGCCTTTCCTGACCGGGTCCTGGTTAATAATATAGACCCCTCTCATGTTCTCAGCCCAGAACATCACATAGTAGGCACTCAGTAATTATTGTTTGAAAGAAGGGGGGATGGTAAAGGAGCTCCCAAAGTCCCTGTGGGCTCTGCAGGGCCTGAATCCTGTGGGTCTCCCCACCCACTGCTTCTTCTCTACCCCACAGGCTTCATGACCCCTGCGGAACACAAGCATTTAGAAAAATTGAGCTTGCCACACAACACGTTCTGGGTGCCCTGGGTATGGTTTGCCAACCTGTCGGTGAGAGCTTGGATCGGAGGTCGAATCCGGGACCCTGTCCTGCTCCAGAGCCTGCTGGCGGTGAGCCCACCACGCAGGTGGGGCTGCTGCAGAGCAGGGAGGGTTGTACCCCAGGTGGAACTCGGCTTCCCAGGAAGAGGAGGGTTGAGCCCCTGAGGGTCTTCCCAGAACATTCCTGGAGACTGTAGGACCTTTTCCAATAGGATTCCACCACCCAGTGTGGCCCCTCCCACAGTCCCCTCCCACCCCCTCCTGAAAGTGAGCCTCTGAGAGTCTGGTTCCTTTTTGATAGATGAAGGAGCTGAGGCTCAGAGAGGTTAAGTGAGCTGCCTGTGACCACACATCTAGGGCTGGACCGTGAGCACCAGACCCTGGTACCTGGGGAGGAGCCTGGGAGGGCAGGTGCTGGTCAGAACCCCAACCCTCCCTCCTGCCCCCCAGGAGATGAACACCTTGCGTACGCAGTGTGGACAACTGTTTGCCTATGACTGGATTAGTGTCCCGCTGGTGTACACGCAGGTGAGGACAAGGCTGGCGAAGCTGCCCCTTTGGGAAACTGAGGCTGGGAGGTCCCAGGAAGCAGCCTGTGATGGAAGGACTCACTTAGAGGCTGAGAAAGAGGCTCGCCCTGGGAGTTGGGTCTGCACTGTGCAGGTTCTCTCTAGGGCCCAGTTTGAAGAGTCCAGGCTCCTGCCTGGTGGAGGCCGGGGGATTTTCCCACTTTAAGGAGGAGGTCACAGAGACCCAGAATCACAAGAGGGTGTGAGTCAAAGAGCAAGGTTTTGTCCCCCAGCCTCTGGAGCTTCGGGACCCCAGGCCCCCACCCAGCCCATTCCCACCTCCTCTCCTGCCCAGGTGGTGACCGTGGCGGTATACAGCTTCTTCCTGGCTTGCCTGATTGGGCGGCAGTTTCTGAACCCAGCCAAGGCCTACCCGGGCCACGAGCTGGACCTCGTTGTCCCTGTCTTCACGTTCCTGCAGTTCTTCTTCTATGCTGGCTGGTTGAAGGTGAGCCTCCCAAGACAGGGCTGGGTTGTGGGTGTGGCCAGAGAGGTCCTGGCCAGCCAGGAGAGGAGGGTCCCCAGTGTGGAAGGTGTGCACTGGGTCCTGACCGTGGCACTCTAATCTCCCCAACTTTTTACAAAGAAACTGAGCCCTGGAAGGGAGTGAGACCTGCATGAGGCCCGAGTCTGAGGGCAACGGTTCACCCAGGGTCTGGACCGTAGCAGGCATGAGAGGCGCCAGGGAACCTCAGTTGTCCATCCGTTCAATGGCAGACCTCCTCAGGAGCCTGATGCCCACTTTTTTGGGCAGAACGAGGGGCAGGCCCTGCTGGTGAGGTGGCTTCTCACTGTCCCCAGCCACGTGGTCCCGGATTTGTTCCTTCTGCTTAGTAAAACAAAAGCCCTGAAGCTGACTCACCCCAGCCTCCACCCTTTGGAAGGCAGACAAGTAATGCCTCTCTTTACTCAAGCTGTGCCTGGTCGGGGCATGGAGGTCCCTGTACCCACCACAAATGGCTTTTCCAAGGGTTCATTCCCATCACGTCCAGTGCTCTTTCTGACAGGAATTCTGAATAACAGTGGTCTCTCCATCTCTTTATCTTCCCGTCCATTTCCCACCCACTCTCCCTCTCTTCCTTTATTTTTTGGTGGTGGGGGTGTCTCTGTCTCCTCCCTGCTGTCTTGCTCCTCTCCGTGTTTCACACACACACACACAAACACACACCTACCTCTCCCCCTCCCCCCGTTATCTACAGATCAAACCAGACCGCACCATTTTGCTGCTTGCAATTCTCCTGTGGTGCCCCGGTAGCTCGCATGCAGGATGCCCTCTGAACCTCAGTGCACTGCACTCGCCACCACGGCAGGGCTTGCTTGGTCAGGAGACTTCAGAGGCTGGTGCCCAGGAATCTGCCCGCCTGTTCTGCCCTTTACTGTAGCACAGCCCCAGAATTAAGTCTGTTGCGTTATAAAATAATGGATAAATGAATGTTTGGACACATGAATGAGTAACTGAATGAATGAATGAGTAACCGAACTAATGAATAGAATCATGCCACTGCAGGTTAGATGCAGTGCGGGGAGATAAAGGTGGCGACTGGGCTGAGTATAGCTCTGGGCATTCAGGGGCTGGGTGAGGGCTGGCTCAGAGGAGCCAGAAAGACCCGGCGTCCCGAAGTGAAAGGCAGTGTATTTGGGTGCTCACATGTGTGAGTGGCTGGAGCCCTTACACAGTGGAGACAATGGTCAGGCAGGAGGGGCATCTGGGAGAGGCTTAGGGGGTGGAAATGCCAGGAGCGGAGGTTTAAGGATGGGAAGCAAGACTGCAAGGGTTCGCCCTGAAGATTTCCAGAGCCTCACCTACCCCCAAGGTGGCAGAGCAGCTCATCAACCCGTTTGGGGAGGATGATGATGACTTTGAGACCAACTGGATTGTCGACAGGAGCTTGCAGGTATGGGGGTGGGAGGGAGCCAGTCCCATGGACCCTCCCCAGACAGGACCTAGGGAGGGTGATGCCCACACTGGACCCAGGGAGGGGGCCCTGCAATTCTGTGGAGGCCTGATAGCGAATTGCCTCCTCTCTCCCTCCCCCGTCAACCATTCACTCACAGGATTCTCACCCCAACTTTTGAGGCTTCAGGTAGGTATAAGTGTCTCCATTTTGCAAGTAGGGAAACTGAGGTCCAGAAACACAGAAGTGGCCTCTCCAAGTCGCCTGGCACATTCATGGCCCTGCTCGGGCTGATCTTTCTGTTGGACTTCTGCCTCTGTTTTGGGCACCCAGGTGTCCCTGTTGGCTGTGGACGAGATGCACCAGGACCTGCCCCCAATGGAGCAAGACATGTACTGGAATGATCCAGAACCACACCCTCCCTACACCACTGCTTCTGCCCAGTCTCGCCGACCCTCCTTTTTTGGCTCCACCTTCAATATCAGGTGGGCAGTGCCAGGGAACCACGTGGGTGGAGAGAAAACCCCAAGTTCAAGGGCCAGGAACTTAGAATAGCCTACTTAGTGCATACTCGGTGCTTACTGAGCACAGGGTGCCGTACTAAACTCTTTATATATATTAACTGTTTTTTTTCTTCCCAGTAACCTTGGTTTGTTATCTCCAGTACTCAGATGATTAATTCCAGGTTCAGAGAGGTTAAGTAAGTTGCCCGGCCCACCACCACACAGCCACTAGCACACGTGGGCTGGGCACGTGTGGTCCGCCTGCACACCTTTCACTCTTACCTTGTACTTAGGTACTTCGGGGCTCTTAGGTACCTTTAGTCTAAGCCCCTGTGTCCAGAGGACACCAAGGCCCAGAGAGAGGAGGGACTTACTTGAGATCAGTTGGGATGTCCGGGCCTGGTTTCTGACTCCAGTCCAGAACTGTTTTCTGATAAGCCACAGTGTTTGGGTGGGAGTGGTGGTGGTGGGAGGGGGGCCCTGCAAAGGAGGGGGCGTGGCAGCCATGCCCAGCAAGAGGCTGGGTACTCACGGGTACCTTCTGGGGAGACTTTGTGCTACAGAGTAGAGGCCCCAGCTCACCCACAGCAGCCAAACTGCCCCCCACATGGGTCCCATCTCCCTGATTTGCTCAGAATCCCCTTTGAGCTGCTGGGCCTCAGTGGGCTGAAGGGCCGCCCTGGACGGCACTCTCTTTCTGGGGTGAGAGTGGGAAGCACTGGGGTGCATGTTGCGGTCCATACCATGAAGGTTTTCTTCCAAAGTATTAAGCTGTGTTCTGTTTTTGTTCCTTTAAGAACCGTATATCCTATGAAACTCCGATTAGAATTAGCTAGAATTCCCTAGTTTAAGTGAACAAGGTTTGGGAAAGTGGTCAAACGAAGGCTTGCTTAGGTCAGAAACATTCCTGGAGGTTGCCTTCAAGTTCTACGTGGTCTGAAGGTTGGGGAGACGGAGGGGAAGTAACAGAAAATACTAACGAACAGGCCATGCCTCCGAGGAACCCATGATTTAGTGAGGGGCTCAAACTGTAGACGTGCACTGCAAGCCCCAGAGGCCTGGGAAGAGGACAGGACATAGGAGAGAAGGCACCACTGGCCACCTGGGAGGTAGCCTCTAGCTGGGCCTGCAGCTGGGCTTTCGAAGTGTCCAGAATTTGGACAAGGGCAAGGCAGGCCATACTCCAGGGTAGGTAGGCTTTCTCTTGCAGAGTAAAAGCCTTAGGCTCTCAGGAAGTCAGGCTTCCGTCCTTAGAGGTGCTACTCCCTAGTTGGAACCACAAATCCCTGCCTTGCCCAGAGTCCCTCCTGGGCTTCATCTAACCACTGCTACCTGGGCACTAGTAACTCAGATTGCCTGGAGTTAAGGTGGGTGAAAGGGAAGATGATGAAGAGGAAGCCCTTTACTGCTAGGGAGTTCGAATGTTAATGTAGGCAAGAGGGAGCCATAGAAAAACAGTTGGGTGAGCTAGGCCAGGAGGAATTAATCAGGAGGTACAGGATGGATCAGGAGAGGGGCAAGTTGGGGCATTGTGAAGACCAGTGTGTGTCCTTGACCTTGGGCCAGAGGGAGAGAGAAGGAGGGAAGGAGAAAAAGGTCTGGTTCAGTCCTCTGTTCCCCCTACTCAGCCTGAAGTCTCCTGCTTCTTTCCAGTCTGCATAAGGAAGAGATGAAGTTCCAGCCGCATCAGGAGGAAGAGGAGGAGGAGGAGGAAAGTGCTCACAATGGCATCATTGGCCGCTTCTTGGGGCTGCAGTCCCATGACCACCAGCCCCCCAGGACAAGCTCAAAGACCAAACTACTGTTGCCCAAGAAAGAAGTCCTTCTCCCTGAGGGCCAGCCCGAGAGCCTCAGGGGGGCCAGAAAGAGCTCCAGGGACCAGGATGATGGCAAGGCCTGGAGGCTGAAGGGGGAGGAATCCTTTACGTCTGCTGCACTGTGGGGGAGGTCAGGCTACCACAGTGCCCCACAGACACCTCTCGGCTCCATCCCTATGGTATTCCCACCGGGACAGCCAGCAGCGTCAGGTCTTCGCAGGGTCTCCGGGGCGGACAGCACTGTCAAAGGCCAGGGCCTGCAGCTGGTGACCCCTGGGACCAGGAAGAGCTTTGACTCGCTCCCGGCGTTTTCTGGGGCCTCAGTGGAGCGCCTGGAATTGTGTCACAAGAGGAAAACCGTTGAGTTTAACCTGACTGACGTATCAGAAGCCCCTGGAGGTCACCTCAGAGAACCACACACACCGTCAACTAGCAGCGTACACACCACACTCAAAGGTCATGATGATCCTTACTGGGCCTTGGAAAACAGGTGTGTCCTCGACCCACCCCAGAGTCAGTGCACCTTCTCCTTGGACACCTCCCCACCCTCCCCAGCCTCCCTTGCTGAGCCTACCCTCCTTCCACGATTTCCATGTTTCTGTCACTGCCTGAGGAGGCTGGGCCTGTGCCCAACAGTGGCTTGGGACATACACTTGGCGATGTAGGCACAGGTCCTAAGGAAGTGTTGGGGGCTTTTGCTCATTTTGCCCGAGCCTGACATTGCCAGGGAGTCCCTGGGACCTGGGTGAAGGAAGATAAAGCTGCAGGAATGATGCCAGAGGAAGGGCTACCAGGCCAGGAGCTTGAGGGGGGTTATATGGTGGTGTGTAGGGCCCCATTCCAGAGTGTGTATACATGCTCCTCCAAGACCACTGAGTGGTCCTGAAACTCCTGCAGAGGGTGCCACACCTTGGGGAACTGGCAGATGGTTACGGTGAGGGCACGCAGGTCCTTTGGGGTATCTGTAGCTTCGGAGACTGCAGCAGGCCTTAAACCTGCTCCTCCAGCTTTCTTGGGGTCAGTCCAAGCTGTCACAAACCACCAGCTTGTTTCCCTTTATTCCATCTACTATTCAGCCAATTGTCTATCTACTCCACCCCATCCCACCACGATGAGGAAGGGATGTTTAACTTCCTGTTTCTGGATTCTCCAGCAGTTGCTTCTGTGGTCAGAACACACAGCTGGAACTGAAAACCCTGGGGGTTTTCAACCCCGAGGGCTGCCCTCTCTCCTGCTTCTAGACCTAGACAGAAACCAATCACTGTGGCTTGTTGGGGAGGGTACTCATGGCTCTGTAGTCTCCTGACACAAGTTGCTTGTTTTCACTCTGCAGTGTCTCAAGCTTTGCTCTCCTCCTGCAGCTAATTCAGTATTGGAATGAAGTTATCCTCCATATTCATGTGAATTTTCTCAAATTTTCCACAGGGAGGAAGCACATTCCTAAGCCGTTTCCCAAGGGGGATCGCTTTGCCGGCCTGGTCCTTCCTGCATGTACACCAGCAGGACACTGATCCAGTCGTAGTCACATAGCCGTCCACACTGAGAAGTATGTTCCCATGACAGCCTGGATTACAGTTAGCTCGATGGGTACCAACAATCATGAGTTTCAGGACGACTTTTGTACATAAAAATAACGGAAGCTGGAACAAACCACTGGAAACGTGGAATTCAACCAGGAGTCTTTCAGTCCTGCCTGCACTCCACACACCAAAGCCTTGGTATCTTTTCCAAACTTGGAAATTTAGTTTAACTAAAGGATTATTAATAAACTAAGGACTTGCACAAATACAAATTCTCTTATGCGTTTTATTTTAATTGGCCTGCCAGTCCCTCCCCCAAGAATTCGAAGACAACAGCTGGGTACCAAATTACTTTATTTGAAGGAACGGTACAAATGAAGGACGTAAGTGGATGATTGGTAGAAGTTATAGAAAAGGTAAAGGTGACTCCAACATGCACACACTGCTTTGGTGACCAGGGAAGTCACTCCCGTGGCAGTGGGAAGGCAGCCTGAGGCTTAGCTGTCTGCACTCTCTCCCAGAGTGTGCTTGTCAAAGAGATACTCTCCCATGCCAGATCCAGGGGCCCCCAACCTGCGCAAGTTGGTCACATGGTCACCCAGCTCTTTGATGGATTTCACCTGCTCATCCAGGTAGTGAGTCTCGATGAAGTCACACAGCTAGAAGAAAAAGAACGGGGAAGAAAGTTACTGGTAAACTTGCCCAGCCAACTAAGGAAAAATGAGTTCCTCCGTTCACTCCCCGGTTGCGAATACTTACATGAGGATCATTTTTTTCAGTGGCCAGTTTGTGCAAGTCCAGTAGGGACTGATTCACACTTTTTTCCAAGTGCAGTGCACACTCCATTGCATTGAGCCCATTCTCCCAGTCATCGCGTTCCGGTTTCTGAAGAAGAGGAAGTCAGGTCAATGCACCTACAATTTCTACCAAGTAAATAAACCATGGCAATTCAGTAGGCACCTACTATGTGACCTTTTGACAAAAGGAACATTTAAGTTTTCCTTGGTAAGTTTCCACCCTTGATAAATTTAACACCCTCACCCTTTACCGTTTGCCTATTTGGGCTTAGATGATGGGCATAAGAAGCACAAAAGCCAAAGTCTCATCATTTAAAAAGAAAACTGCTAGTCACAGAGTGATACCTGACACCGAGTGATACCTGACACCTAAGGACTGCTCGATTAATCCGGAGGCGTGCCAACCCTAGGACCTTTGTTCACCTTGATGTCCTGGAGGAAGATCCGGCCCCCGCGTTGGTTCTGCAGCTTCATCAGTTTCTCAGCATGTTCCCTCTCCTCATGAGATTGGTGAAGAAAATACTTAGCAAAGTTCTTCAAAGCCACATCATCACGGTCAAAGTAGTAAGACTAAAAGTGGAACACGAACATGTTAGGGGTGGGTTGTGTTCCTGGATTGGTTTCTATTCTCTAATGCAAAAACAGAACCCGATACTTCCAACTTAAGTTTACTAAAGGAACCTTCAGAATATCACAGGAATTGCCTCCAGTACGAAACATACTGCAAAGTTCTTAAAGCCAGTGTTGAGTTTCACTGGTGAGGGTGCTGAAGTATTTATCCTGAACTGTTAGTGCCTTCTTCCCCTCTTTCCTGATAAACCCATCAAAGGTGTGCTGGTCAGCTTGCAAGCAGAGGGAAGGATTTCTAAAATTTACCCACTAGGCAAGGCCACAACTTCAAGCAGAGCTAATGTAGATAAATAAGACCAGTAGAAAGCAAAAACTTGATTCCAGTTTTACACATTTTGCTGTATTCTGTTCCTGAAATGAATGGCAGTTACAGAAATCCAGACCTGTTTTCAAATCCATCTGGAACACGTCTATTCCTGGATAATTTGCACAATCCTAAAATAACTGAAAGATTTTGTAAAACTGATCTCACCAATTATAGGGAAAAATCCCTTGCCCAGTAACTGTTGGCAGATTTTACCCAAGAACTGAGAGTTCAATGAGTGGGCTACAATTCTCAGACACAAAAAGGATAAAGAATTATCCAGGCACTGGGATGCGTGACTAAGACAACTTCGAGTCCACAGAAGGGGAGATTTCTACAGTGAGGCTCAGAGATAAGCAGAGCTGAGGGGTGGAAACAGTTGCTCGGCAGTGAGAGGCCCACGGGAGATAAAGACACTTTGCACCAGCCCCCAAGGTTGCTATTTGACACCATTACCCAGCAGGCTCCGCCATAACCAGGGGGATGGGAGCTGGACTTCTCCACCCCTTAGGTGAGCAAACCGGGGGTCCTCAGGGGCACGTGATCAGACTCAGCAGGATTGGAAATGCAAAAATATACCTTCCTAACTGCAGAATTGTACAGTTCCTAAACGATGCAGGCCCAGGATTTCCAGAAAACGCACTCTCTTTAACCATAAAATGGTGCACAGAGCCAGCCCTCGCCTATGAGGAAGCCCTCCCAGTAGGCAGTCGGAAAGGGCGAAGTGCCCGGAATTTCTGCGCAAGACAAGTCTCGAGATACTTGAATCAGCCTTCCCAAGCACTGGGAAACATTTTCCCAAAGGGCGCACATAGGTTGCGCGGGGAAGGAGACCAGGAGACCACAAACGGTAGCCACAACCTCCGCCCCACCCCCGGAGAGGCTGCACGCCCCTTCTCCGCCAAGCCACCCGGGGAGACCCCGCCAGGCCTCACCATGGACAGGTAGACGTAGGAAGCGTAGAGCTCCAGGTTGATCTGGCGGTTGATGGCGGCCTCCGAGTCCTGGTGGTAGTTCTGGCGCACCTGCGAGACGGATGTGGTCATGATGGCGGCTAAGGACAGGCGGCTTCGCGGTGCTGGAGCGGTGGTGGGGACCTTGGGATGGTCCGAGGGCGCTTTGAGGAGGTGGCAGAAGGATGGATCTGGACAGCTGGCTGGGATGGGGGGGGTCGAGCGCCGGGTTCCGTTCAAGCACTGTTGAAGCAGGAAACCACGGCAACTCTCCGCGAAGACTCTGGCGCAGTGTCCAGCCACCCCACTTTTATAGCAGGAGCAGGCGTCACACCTGCCCTGACCAATCACAGATCCCGCCTGCCGCGCCTAGCCCCGCCCCTCCTTGGGGGGGGGGAGCGCGGGGCTCCACCCGGTTGCCGCTTTGGGGGTGGGGAGGTCTGGGCCCGTGTTGTGTGCGCGCGGGATCATTGCGGAGGCTGGTGGCTCTCTGTGCTAAGCGCTTGGTTTTGGAGGGGTTGTTGACCCAGCTCGGATCCCGGACCCCAGTGGCGTTCTGGGTCCTGGAACCCACGGGAAACTGTCCCTGAGGTCCCTAACGGTATTCTAATTTTGTGGGTCTAGGGCCCGTTCATCAGAGCGTCAGAGCAGCAGTTACCACACCCCGATATTGCAGATTGGGAAAGTGAAAACATGGGCCCTAGGAGGCCGAATGAGTCAGGATGGACTGGAAAAGAGCGAGGCGGCGTGGGGCCTACAGCCATCTGGATCCGCCCCGCCAACTTTAGCAGAAAACAAATATGGCTCCCGGGCACTGCAGTTTATGCAACAAAGACCGGGAGGGCAGCCTTCCCCGAGGGAGCCAAGGGGGTGAGTGAGCCGCCTGGGTTTCTGAGGAAACCACTGGTGATGCTTAAAACAGAGATCGGAGGTTAGAAAAAAAAAGATAGAGAGAAGCGACTTGGATCTGAGAGCCGATGCTGGGTGGCCATTTTGAAATGACCTCTTTTTTCAGGTGTGACAGGCACCCGGGACCCCGAAGGGCAGGTCCAATGCCGGGCCGATGCATGTGGCTTACAGCTGTGTCCCAAGCTGGGTGTGAATTTGTGGGTGACAGAACTGGAGCTAGGCTGGATCTCCCGAGTCTGCTGGCTTCAAGGTTCACTATTCTTAGCCAGGTTCTTCTGTACATAGGTGGGAGACATGTCCAAGGTTCCTTCCAGTATGCTCACAAATCTGAAACTGGAAGCTGGACTTAACAAACCTAAAAAGAAAAAAAAAAGGAGGGGGGTATTTTATTCAAATATTAAAACAAGTTGCTGATGGAATTATGGCACTTGCTTCATTTCCAAATGCACATGTATTACTTTCAGAAAAAATCTACTGGGGATAGAGCTGCATTAGAGTCAGCAGAAAGATACTGGGAGGACAGAGGAACAGTTGCCTTACCCAGTCTGGGCTAAGTTTGAAGACAAAGTCAAGGAAAGGTGAAGTGGAGGAGGGAGGTGCAGGAGGGAATTCCAGGCAGAGCGAACAGTGTATGCAAAGGGGTGGAAATGCCTGGTCTGCCCAGGGTACATGAAGGAAGTGTGTGGTCTGGGACAGCAGAGTCACGTTGGAGAATGCTGGGAGGGTCGTGTAGGGGCCAGGTCAGGAAGGGCTGTGTGCCATAAAAAGGGGCTACACTTTATTCTGGAGGACATGGGGACACTACGGGATTTCTTGCCAGGGAGGTACTGCCGGCTTGGTTTTGTTTTCAGATACCTTTGAATCAACCCCACACTACTAGGATACGAGTATAGCTAAACCATCAGTGGCCGAGCTTTTCTATATAAACAATAACCACCAGTTAGAAAATGTAGTAAGAGAAAATCTTTCATTTATATTGGCACCAAAAGCCGAGAGTACCTAGGAACAAAGTTAACAAGAGATGTGAGGAGAAAACTAAGTGTTTACTGCTGGACAGGTAAGAAAACTTGCGTCAGTGAAGAGACACCATGTTTCCAGACAGCCAACCCCAGTTCTGCAAAGATGTCGATTCTCCTAAAATAAACCTATAAATTCAGTGCAGTTTCTGTCAAATGAAGTGGGGTTTTTTTTTTTTTTGAAACTTGACAAAAATGATTCCAAAGTTCATTTGGAAGAGTAAGTGTGTAAAATAAGTGATAAGCCTTTGAGGGTAGATTTGCTTCCTTGATATTATGAAAAAAACAAAACCAGACAACTGAAGTACTGCCAACAGCTGGTACTGGCACAGAGAGAGAGAGAGCACAGCAGTGCAGGGAGCAGCCCTACCCGCATACAGCGGGAACTTGGGGGATGTGAAAGTGGCATTTCAAATTAGGGAAGAAAGAGTGGGTTCAACAAATTATGCTGAAACGATTGACAGTCATGTGGAAGAAAATGACTCACTGTATTTCAAAACCTATTTCGGATGGATTACAGATTCAAGCCTTAAAAAAAGCCTATAAAGTTACTGGAAGAATAGACAGAAGACCATCTTAGAATTTGGGGGTAGGGAGTATTCTGAGGCTGTCAAAAGCCATAAAAGGACAGTTGGCAGTTTTGGCCACTTAAAAGTGAAAAGCTGTAAGACAAGAGATGCCATACACAAAGTTAAAATTCAAGTGGCCTATTGAGTTGATGGTGTTTGTAGGCCCTACACATAGTAAAGGTGATAACTGTAGCATGTTCGTATGGGCGGGTCACGCCTTTTTTTACCACCCAAGCCACTGCAAGCACGGTAAGCTGCCGGAGGGCTGGCGTTGTTTCTGTCTTCATCCTGGGCTCCCAGCACTTTGCAAGGAGCCTGTTGCTTGGTGCCTGGTATTTGCTGAATGAACAGATGCTAGCATGATTGAATGTGGAGGCTGGATAAAGGTCAGGCCGGAGGGCTGGGTACTGGGTACTGAGAACAGCCCTACCTCCCATTGAGCAGAGGAGACAGAAAGCAGATCTGAGAGACATGAAGTCAGAACAGCTGGGATGAGGTGGCTGACTGGATATCATGGGGGTAGAGGTGAGGGGTGGGAGGCGGCCAAGAGAGCCCCCCAGCTTTCTTGCCTGGGCTGCAGCTGGCATTCACTGAGATGGGGAGCACAGGAGGAAATGCTGTCTCGGGGGAAGGCCGTTGGGGGGGGCCAGCTAGGTTTTAGACTGGAGGTGCCGAGTTTCCGGACGTCCAGGTAGACGGAGCCCCCATGAAGTTAGGATCCACAGGAATGAGGGGGGTCCGTGGCAGTAAGGCATTTGGTTAAACACAGCGGCTGCTGAGAACTTCACAGCAAAACTGAGGGACAGCTTGGGCTGTAAAAGGTTGCCAGGGGAGGTTGTCTGGGAAGAGTTAAAGGAAAATCTCCCGCTGATGTGTGTGTGTGTCTGTGTGTTTGCTTAGGCCATTCCACACCTTCTGGGAAGCCAGTGTGTCAGAACTGGCAGCTCCATGCTTCTGGAGTCTTCTGAAGCAGGGGCCTAGTCTTTGCACCTTTGTTTACCAGAATTCTGCCCGCTACCCCTCTGGCCCCAGCTCCTCGTGACTTCGAGGAGGCGGGGAGCTTGGCGGGCTTCCTGGGACAGCAGCTTTGGTGGGAGGAGTCACAGGCAAAGGAAGAGCCTGTGGTTGTTTCTGTAAGACGCTGGCTCAGTGGGGCCTGGGGGTTGGAAACTGCTGTCCCACCGTGACTCAGCACTCTGCCGGTCTGGAGGGGCTGGGCGTGGGCTCCGAAAATGCTTTGTCAACGGGGGGGCAGAAGGCTTGGCGGACTGTGACTTAACCGTGGGGCCAGGGAAGGCACCGCCCTGCCCCCATTTCCTCATGTGGCTGGCTGCCCAGGCTGGACCTGGAACAAAGGGGCCTAGATCACCAGGCCCAGCCCTACACTGTGTTTTTGCTAGAAGGAGTGGGTGTCATTTTCCTACCCATCTATCCCTCAGTGCCTTCTGGCCTTAGAGGGAGTTTTCAGCAGATGTTGGGTCTCTCCCTTCTGGGTACGGTAGCTGTGGATTATACCTTAGGGTTCCACCGCTGGTGAGATCAGAGCCACTCAGAATGTCGAGGCTCAGACGAGACATCAGTGTTTCCAAATCACCGTGCTTTACAGAGAGGGAGGTGGGAGCCCCGTAGGAGGCCAGGGCTTGTCCAAGGCAGAAACCCACGCTGAAATGTAGGACTGGGCGCATAATGGAATATGACATGGTCATCAAAGACAAATTTGTTGCTGGCACGTGTATGTTGAAGTGATGTTACATGAAAAAACAGAGCCCAGAATAGTTCGTGTAAAGCTGGTTTACAGTGGAGAAAAACCGTAGGACTGGAAGCATAGAGGAGGGTTGGGAGAGAATGGATTGAGTAATGTTTTCACCGAATAGCTGATGTTTTAAATGTCTGGAATTTCCCCTGAGGTTGTATGTCAGAAATAGGAGTTTAGGAATTTCAAAATTGAGGAAAAAAAAAAACAAAACCAGTACTGAATGAGATTTAGGTACATTTCTGAATGATGCAACCATGATTCAGAGAACTTGTCCTTAAGCCGTTTCTTGAAAACCCATGGGGCATTGCAGGCTCAAAGTGTAGGTGCTCAGGATCCCCCTTTTCCAGCAGGCTAAGGTCAAGAGCCTTGACCTGGTGTGTTAGACAGTAGTAGAGAATGGGAGGCCTCACTGCCTGCCTCCGTGGGCGCTCCCGAGGGGACAGCCCCGCATCCCACACCTCTGACAGGTCACGCACCCTGACTGTCGTTGTCTGCTCGTCTGCCTTCCGCCTGGACTTTGAGCTCCATTTTGTGCTGTGGCCCAGACCCCAGAGCAGCCCGGGGGCCCTTCCAGTTCTACAGCTCGCAGCCCTCCAGCCGTCCTGCGGGATCCTCCTGCCCTTGTGCCCGGTGGGATGTCTGGTGTCTACCTCTGGACTGTAGGCCCCTGGAGGTCAAGGGTCTTGTTTTTGCTTCTCCTGCTGGGTCCTTCCAAATGATCTCCTGGGTATCTGTCCACATTCTAGGCACTTCGAAGAGGTCACCTGGCCTTGCTGAACTTTGATTCCTGTGTTTATTTACAGTATCTGGAACCAGTCCTCCCCCATGTTACCGTGGGCGCTCGTCACCATAATTCAGGTTGCATCTCACGACCCAGTACTCAGACACGTGGCTTAGGCATGTCACACAGTCCAGGCTCAGCCATGCCCACCCTGGCCAGATCAGGAGAGGCCCTGCTCAGCCAGGGCGGCAGGTGGGGAGCCACGGCCAGCAGCCTCAGAAAGAGGGTCAGCCTCGGGAGGCCGTGTCAGCAAGGGCAGCCCCTCGTCTGCTGGCGACATGAAACTTGAGGGAGGAGCTTTAGCACTGGGCTGCACAGAGTTTGGGGGTAGAGACCCCAGCTTCCTTGTGCAGGGCCAGGAGGTAGGGTGGTGGGGACTAGACAAAGAAGCACCTCAGCAATCCAAGAGGCCAGCAGCCCTGAGGTAGTGTGGGGAGGAAAAGGGCAGCTTAGGGCGGGCCCACCTTGGAGGCAGCAGAATGAAGCAGCTGCAGGGAGCAGCCCAGTGACTCTTCAGCCACCAGTGAAGGTCCCCGGTGTGCAGTCTGGGTGAGTTAGTTTTTCTGGCTAGGCCAGCCAATGGGGCCCAGCAGTCAGCCAAGTGAAGTCCTGGTGTCCCATGAGAGGGTCAGGACCCCAAAGACCTCACTCTTAGCCTGGGAGAGGCCCCGGTCAACCTCCTTACCCACTGCCAGCTCTGCTAGCTGCACCTCACCCCGCTGTAACTTGTCTCTGGCCTGCGCTCCCCAGCCTTATGAAATGCAGAGGTAAGTGCGTCACTCTGCCTCACATTCTCTAGGCCTTAGGGGTGGAAGTATAACTTCGGTATGGCCCCAGGCCCTACCCATCTGCCGGCCACACTCATCCAGGACTCAGCCATTCCCTGTGGCCCAGCAGCGGGTCCCCTCACACCTTGGGACTAGGCACAGCTGGTCCCTCTGCCCTACTGCCCTCCCCTGACTCTTCTGCCTGAAAAGCAACTGGACTTTCAACACCCAGCTCACATATCCTCCCGAGGCTTCCCTCGCTCCCCCTGCGGAGCGGAGAATTTCCATTCCCGTGTCCTCCAGCGCTGCCAGGCTACAGCGAGCTGCAGCGACTTGTTAGGCACCTGCTGCCCACACTGCAGGGGGGCTGCCGTGCCCTCCTCCTCTCGGCAGTGCCTCTCCCTTCCCCAGCTCAGGACCCAGCAAAGTGCCAGGGTCACGGACTGCGGACTGCCGAGAACCATGTGTCAGATTTCATTTGAGGCCCAGCTGTTACCATCCCTGTTACTGAGAGATGGGCCTCTCCCACCCCCTGCCTCACAGGTTTGCTTTTTCCATTTTAGGTAAGACTAGCTCTCTCTCTCTCTCCCACGTGGAAGATGCCAAGAATGAGACCTTCTGGGGGTCAGGATGGTTTCCCAGCAGGGATCTGAGAACACTGTGACTGGTGGGGTCATGGGGACAGTGATGCCATGGTCACAGGCTCTCTGCTCGGAGGATGGGTTCCCTTTGCCTGATCCTGTGGCCGAGGGACTATGTGGGAAGTCACGGGGGCGAGGGACATGCCCCGTGGTTCCTGGAGATGGGACTAGAGCATTCTTGGAGCCATTATCCTCCCATAAGCAGAGCATGCCAGAGGCTTTATACAGAGCGGGTCGACGCCTCGCTGTGGCTGAAATGACCACAACTCCGAGGAGGAGGTGGAGCGGGGAGCCTTGCTCTAAGCAGTCTCCTGCTCAGAGGAGGAGACGGAAGGTCAGAGAGGTTCAGCAACGGCCTAGCCCATGGTTGCACAGCCAGTAAGAGACAGGGGTGTGATTCGAACCCGAGTCTAACCGTAGGATTATTTAACTTTCCGGATCTGGGGCCCTGATGCACCCACTGCAGTCCTGAAAGTCAGCAATGCTGATGGTACTTGACCATCAGCCTTGGGCCCTGGCCGACGAAGGTCCTTGGGATTCTGGTTGCCTAGAGGCTGAAATATCCTTGCAGGTGCAGAAGAGTTCCTGCAGCCCCCAATCCAGGCGAGGTCCAGCCTGACGTAACCCAAAAACACAGTTTGCTTGGTAGCAGGACCTCGGAGCTGAGGCACCCAGGCCTTGTGACCTTCAGAGTTCATTGTGCTGTGTGGGGGTCTGCTCAAGGACCTGTGAGGGGCCCAGCACCCAGGTTTTGGGGGCTTGTCGATTATTTGCTTAGCTTCTTTAGAGAAATGTCTATTCAAGTCCCTTTTAAATTGGGTTATTTGGGGGTTTTGTTGTTGTTGTTCTTTATATATACTGG